GATACCATCATTACTACTAGTTAGACGATGGATAAGATATGATTGCACAGATATTACCTTATAAAGTGTTAGGAGTCAATGTCGATAATTGATGCAAAAGTGGGTAAGAATGTGAATATGTGACTTCATTTCATTAGAGAATGGTATGCCATATCAACTATAGTAATCCTTATTATAGATGAATTTATATTTGATGCATTTTGCATAAAACCAATATAGATCCTCATGCATCTCTATTAGCTCGATAAAGTAGGCCACCATGGATTGAAAGAGGTGGAACTATGAAAGTCATGCTGAAGTATGATTTGAAAGAGGTGAAACTGTAGAAGTCTTAAAGTGGTATGTTTTCTCTTCATCCTTTAAATCCCATCTATTATGAAGAGATCTCTCTACTCTATACATCTCCATTGTTGACATAAATTTCAAGTGAATTAGGTCAATGGATTCGGAAGTTGTTTAACTTTATTGATTATTTGTTTCATGGATTTTGTCTTTCTGTCTTACCTATGGACATAATAAGGCATTTTTTAGTAGAATCTCATTTTCACTAAAAATAAAGATTTGCCCATGTAAAGAATTTATCGAGATATGTCATGGATGTGATGGATTGGTATAAACTGAGTTTTTGTACCTCGATAATTTACAATGGCAGTTTGCAACGATCCAACCTGCATACTTCAAGCTTGTGCAATCATCTCAGTAGAATTTGAGTTGTTTTTGGGGTTTTGAGTGGAGACATCTTACCATGGTCTTATAAAAAATCTTCAATAAATACAAACAAACTATGCACTACCTTAGTAGCTTGGTTTTCTTAATTTCATTATTTAAATACTGCCAATAAGTTTTCCTCATAGATACATAGAATGAATGTTGTCTTTAGCTCTCTTGAATTTGAATTTTAGTTAAAATTAATTAAATTTATGTATGCAAGTGTGTTTCACAATTTTTATGGCAACAACTTTTAAGTGTTGTATAAGGGAAATACTAGATTTACATTTAATACTAAACAATACATGTTTATGTTGCATGGTGGGGAGAGAGAGAGAGAAATAGAGAATTATATGTATTTTTGCCTCTATGAAATGCTTCTTATATTTTTTTTCTTTTCTTAAATATGAGTTCCATTAATATTGAATATCCGCAATATTGTTTTGTTTTCTCTTTAATACAATACCACTGTATTCAGGAGATAGTTGGAGTTGTAGTTGCAGGTTTTCTAAGAGTCATAAGAGCACAATGAAGAACATTCCAAAGAATTTTTATAAAGATATCTATGACTATTATACTTTTAAAATTTGAAATATTTAGTAATACAATAGCCTATCCAATTAAATGCTTTTATGTAAATTTTATGGGTATCAAACTTTAGGAATGAAAGTTTTTAGTTCTGGAAATTTACTCACTGCACATCATTTTTTTTGGGATCATTTCTAAGAACTGCTTCGATTTGTAGTTAAAATGTTTTTAAATTACTTCGTCAAATCAAGATCGTGTTACTCCTCTTGAAGTGTGTAAAGCTTGAATTGTACACACTCCATATGGAGAAATAGGCATTACTTCTATCATGGGTATAATGCAAGGATAGATACAATCATTACTACTATGTAGATGATGGCTAAGATATGACGACACATATATTAACTTCTAAAATGTTAGGAGTCGATTATCGATAATTGATACAAAGGTGGATAAGAATGTGAATATGTGATTTAAATGGTATGCCATGTCAACTATAGTGTTTCTTATTATAGATGGACTTATCCAATATAGATCCTCATGCATCTCCATTTGCAAAATAGCGCAATAAAGTGGGCCGTCATGGTCTGAAAGAGGTAGAACCATAAAAGTTTGGCTGAAGTTTGGTTTGAAAGAGGTGGAACTGTGGAAGTCTTGCAATGGTATATTTTCTATCCTTTAAGTCATGTCTATTATGATCTTTATTACTAGAGATCACTCTACTCTATGCATCTCCATTGTTGACAAAAATTTCAAGTGAATTTTGTTTCTGCTTTACTTCAATATTGAATTGTAGATGCTCTCCATATATGAGAAATAGGCATTTACTTCTATCATGCGTATAATGTAACGATAGATACCATAATTTCTAATAGGTAGACGATGGCTAAGATATAAGATGACACTGATATTACTTTCAAAAGTATTAGGAGTCAATCGTCGATGGTTGATACAAAGGTGGTAGGACATGAATATGTGACTTTACTTCATTCAAGAAATGATATACCATGTCTACTATGATGCTCCTTATTACAAATGGACTTTGCATACAACAAGTTAACAACTAATTAATGACGAAAGAGAAAATAAAGATCCTCATGCATCTCCATTTTTCAAACAACTCAATAAGGTGGGCTACCATGATTTGGAAGACGGTAGAAGTTTTGCTGAAGTGGTATGTTTTCTCTTCTCCCTTTAAATCCCATATATTATGATCCTTATTACTACTCTCTACTATATGCATCTCCATTGTTGATTCAAAGTTCAAGTTATTTTGTTCTTGTTTCACTTGGAAGTTGGAACATTTGATGAATGAGTTCTCATGGTAGATTTTATTTGTTTGTTTTATTCGCTCAATGGTTATTTGTTTCATGGATTTGGCTTTTTTGTCATATATCATACTTATAGATAAGACAAGCAAGGTATTTCTTTGTAGAATCTCATTTTCACTAAAAATATAGATTGCCCTTGCAAAGAATTTATCGGGATATGTTATGGTTGTGATAGATTAGTAGAAAATTGATTTTTATACTTGGATTAATTTACAATGGTAGTTTGTAGTGATCCAACTTGCTAACTTCGAGCTTATCTAGTCAATTCCATTGGAGTTTGGGTAATGTTTGGTGTACTAAGTAGAGCCATCTTATGATGGTTTGATAAAAATTCTCAATAATTACAAATAAAATATATAAAAATCAATCGACTTAGACAATAGTGGAGCCATCTTATGATGGTTTGATAAAAATTCTCAAAAATTACAAATAAAATATGTTATAAAAATCAACCGACTTAGCAATATCAACTGGGCTTTTATTCTCCACTTTCTCTCTCCCCAAGTGCCCTCTTGGCTTTTATTATCCATTTTCTTTCTCTACAAATAACCCCATTTGTGGATCTTATCCTCTATTTTTTTTATTATCCATTTTCTTTCTCTACAAATAACCCCATTTGTGGATCTTATCCTCTATTTTTTACAAGAACGTGTTTCCTTAGAGGAAATGAGGACAATGCCCACCTTTTTGTTTCGGTAATTATATTATTTTTTCATTGCAGTTTCAGTTTCTTAGAGGAAGAGAGGACAATGCCCATCTTTTTGTTTTGGTAATCATACGGGCTTCTCATTGCAGTTTCAGTTTCTAGAGAATGAAAGGTATATAGAGAGAGAAACATAATTTTGGGATGGGGATTTTGAGGAGAGACTTAGCTTTAAGAGCTGTAACAATTGTTAATTTTCAATCATGAGAAATATTTTCAATGGTGAGAAAATTTTGTTGCAGAGTGGATATATTTTCAATGGTGAGAAGGTTTTGTTGCAAAGTGGATTGTGGAGTTACACAAAGAGAAAGGGGAGGCCTGCTGAGGCTGTTAAGTATGACATTTGATGTTGTACTTGCCTCGGAGTTCAGTTTTCAAATGAATTACTTTATCTTGGAGTTGACGACGGTGTGGATGAGAAGAGATTGCGGGCCAAGTTACCAATGTACAAAATGAAATATTATGAGTATTTGTTATGATCAAGTGCTATAGTGTATTTGATGGACCTTCACTAATTGATATTTTCTTTCTTGGTACGTATAATAGTACAAATAAGTCTTCAACCCTTAAATTGATAATTTCCAATGCTAATAGAGAAAGTACACTCTCTATATGTGTCTGAAAAAAGTATCTTACTAAACATGAAAAGAGAGTATCCACTTTTTCTCTTAAAAAAATGTGTACCTAGCTTCGTTATTCCTTATGCTATCTGATTTCTTTCTCGGTGTTATTGCATTTTGTTACGTAGCACTCTATGGAGAAATATGTATGGAAAATACTAAAATATTGGGAAGAAAAAAAAATATTGAACATGTTAAAGCTTATTACACAAAAAAATTGTTTGATACTTCTACTCTATTAATTCAATATATCAATTTTTTTTGTTACAAAAAATGGCAGCACCTACCTCTGGTTTGAACAAGTTTGAGCTGGGGAGTAAGACTTCCGCAAAGAGGACTTAAGTTCTTTTCACACGTGCATATGTTACATTTTGAAAATATTTCCCTTTGCAACAACAAATAGATTTCAAACATTTGTAACTACTATTTTTTGGATGTGGTTGTGTATAAATGTATCTAACAAGCTCATATTCATTTTTTGGATTAAGATTTAATTTGCTGGAAGGTACATCAAAAATTTTCTATTGTTTTCAATTCTTCTTTGTCCTTTGTCTAATCATGAATGAGGACCGTCTTGGATGGGCGTCTTCACCTTAACATTTTATCCAAAGATCTGTCTTTTTCTCTTATATTTATGTAGCTGATGGATTATTTATTTTCTATTGTTTCTTGCCTATGAAATTAATAGGACCCCATACCATTCAATGTTTTATTGAAAATCCCCTATTGTGGGGTGTGCTCACTTTCTTGCATTTACTAATTTGAATTGTTTTAAACTTGAACACTTTCTTGCATTTACTATTTTGTATTGTTTTAAACTTGATCACCAGCTAACTCTTTGTCAAGATACGCGCTCTTTCTCAATATACTAAATTTGATTTACACGTGTGCATTAAGCTAGTAAATATAAGAAAGCCACAACCGAAGCATATTTACTGCATGAACTTCAACAAAAAGCTAAAAGAATTGCCCTTTTTCTCTAAAGAGGAAAAATCCAAAGAGGAAAGATTATTCTTGTTTGTTTTTCAACTGCAGTTCAAGTTTTCAACCATCACATGTGATCTCCATGAAGCTAAGATATAAGATTTTCAAGAGAATGGGTCATACTCATCAACTAATTCTTTTCCATCATTAACGAATTGAGAAGTATCATACAAATGAGACACAACAACAACAAGAGGCCGATGACAAGAAAAGACGCAGCAGAGATTAACGAATTGAGAAGTATCATACAAATGAGACACACAACAACAACAACAAGAGGCCGATGACAAGAAAACATGCAGCAGAGAGAGAGAGAGAGAGAGAGAGAGAGAGAGCAAGTTCTCAAAAATAACAATACACCAATAATTACTGGTGCACAACTTTTAAGAATCCATTTTGTGTAACCAAACCGCTCCATCAAAACTGAACTCATTTCCTGGTTCAAAAGATGCTTCAAGTTCTTCAAAGCTCTGATCAACTCTCAGATCCTCAGTGACACGCAATTCTTCCTGGCATTTCAAAATAATATCACTGCATAAAAATGAACATCTACTAATAAAAAACATAATAGTAACTTTATGGGATCTTTTGGGGCGACCTGGAAAGTACTTAAAAGACCACAGCAATGGAAAATATTGATGGATAATTCCAACAAAGTTTTGGACATGGGGAGTATTGCGAAAACAATTTAAGAGGGAAAAATGAGTTATAAATTATAGAACGATGCATAATTGGGCTATTGCTTTAAAAAATGGGTTATTTCCCAATTAAACAGCCCATTAAATACTAAATATTGAGCAAATAGTACATTAATAGCAACTGAATTATGAACTCTTCTGTGAAATTCTGACCATTATATTCCACTCCTATTTCTATTTGAAATGTTTGTGCACGAACCGAGTAGCAATGACATAATAATTCAACAGTTCAGATATACTCTTGAAGGATTAATGGTCCAGAACTCAGTAACAAGTCATCCAATATTCGATCTGAACTGCCTTGATATTTTTCTTGGCAAGTGGCTTAGAAAATAATAAATCAAAAACTTTTGGGCATCAAAATAAAGTGCTCCAAAACATGATCATTTAGGAGATCACATACCTTCTCCACATATTCCGCAACAGTGGAGTTAATAACCTCTCGGATTACATGGCCATAAACTTTTGATGGTCCAAGGATCTGCAAGAGAATGTGCTTGGGTATCTGCAATGATTTAATTAAAACATGAACTTAACAGCCTAAATTTTTGAAGTATTGAAAATATTCTTGTTTTCCCATCATGGTACTCGCAAATAATCTACTTGCAATAACTTCTTTTAGTGACCTTTGTTAACTTTTATTTGAAAGTTCATGTCTAGGCTTAAATAATGGAAAAATGGAACTTTTTCAAACCCCATTAGTGTTCCAAGAGGAAGCTCCAAATGGCCTTCCTTTGGGGCAACCAATCTAACCAAAAATACCCAAGCCTTGTCAAATGGACATCAGTATGTAAACATAAGAGGGAAGATGGGGCTTGGTATCGAAGAATTAAGGAAATTAACTTCAAGTGGGGAAGAGACTAGGAAAAAGTATCTTGGGATGCACCACTTTTGGGAATCTGTGACCACAAGTAGAAATTCATAGGCTGGGAAAGGCATCCATAGCACCTTAGTTATCATGGATGAGCATTCCCATAGAGTAATCTGTGATGATGGGCGTAAAGAAATCAGCTAGATTCCCTCTCAAGATGGATACTTGTACCTCAAGAGTGTTCACAAAGGGATTGAAGTGCATGAGAACAGAAACAAGGCCATATGGAAAAATCCGTCCTCCTATCTCATCATGGTTCTCTTACTTGGCTACCAAAATACGCTTCTCACACATGATACAATCCAAAGGGGCATTCACGTGGATAACATATGCTACATGTGCAAATCTGTAAATGAAAGCCAAGACCACCTATTCACTACTTGTAATTTTGCCCATCACATTCACCAGATAGTGTAATGCAGATTCAATACCTTCTCGATGGTCACTTCAATGGTTGAAAAAGCAATTTTCTGACAAGTTCCTTAATAGAATGTGAAGGGTAGATAACCTATCGTAATATGGGTACCTTGGTAATATAGGAACCGGAGGGTGAAAGAATAACAAAATCAATACATTCAAGTGGTCATAGGAGAAGAACTTGGAAAATCCAAAATATCATTCTAGAATCTAGATACTCACATACCGGTCCAAAAGAATGGGAATGATAGCGTTATCTATGAGAGATGAGAACCTCCCCCTTGCACCGAGAGCCTTGAGTGAGTATTGTAGCAATGATATTTATACATACAAAGCTATTAAGATCTTATTTATTTTTATTCGGTTTTATGCCAGGGAGGTCAACAACTGAGGCTATTTTCCTACTTAAGCAACTGATTGAGAAGTTTAGGGTGAGGGGAAAAAACCACCACATGGTCTTTATTTATTTGTATTTTTTTTAAATGATTACCGGTATTAAGAGTTAGGAATGAGTATACAAAAAGGACCCCTTAATAGGGTCGTATGTCACCAATAAGGTCAATAGATACAAAATTTCTATACATTTTCATTCTGAAAAATCAAGACTCTGGCTGTGTACAAAAAATTATTGGGCTCCATTCTCAAAAGACCCTACTGCTCCCTCTTTCGTGAGGGAGTCAGCTAGGGAGTTAGCTTCTCGTCAAATGTGGACCTAGAAAACACGAATCTGGCTGATGATGTCAATGATCTCATGGAAAATGAGAGCCAGCCTCCAAGGTTGAGCAGCAGAGCCCATGGCCCAAGAAATGATAGATTTAGAATCTCCTTCAATTGCAATTTGGTCGCCTCAATCAGATATATATGCCCCCAGGCATTCGAGTAAAGCACTAGCCTCAGCTGTAATACTATCATTAAAACCTATGTGTTTGGAGAGAGAGCAGATGGTGTAGCCGAAATGGTCTCTGAAGAGGCCTCCAACCCCAGCTGGTCCTGGGTTTCCTATGGTACAGCCGTCAAAGTTTAATTTGCTCCTGCCCAGTTCTGGAGGTCTCCACAGCGACGCACGAGCAACCCTCGGAGTGGTGGATTGGATCAGCAGTTGCCAACTTAACCAGAAGTCTGATGTGGAAGAGGTTTTGAACTGCTTGTGGTTCTTGGTCCAAAAGATGACCATGGTTATAATTTTATCCTTGAGCCTCACTGCCGTAGTGCTTTCACCTCTGAACATTCTACGGTTTCTTTCGATCCAAATGGACCACAAGGTGGCAGAGACTGTAGCCTTCCAAAGTATCACCCCTAATAGGCCATGGAAGGAATTGGGAAAGGTTGAAGAGGGCTGGGACAGACTGGGGGTGACCCAAACCCAAAGAGTTGGAGGATTTGCCCCCAAAGATATTCGGCGACAGAGCAATGAAGGAAAATATGTGCATTCGTCTCTTCGGTGCTTAGGCACATAGAACATCAATTGCTTTTGTAATTGATCCACAGTGAGCACCCTTTGATAAATGGTCAGCCGACTGAAAACTTGTAGCTTTGGAGGAATAAAAGTTAACCATGCTTTGATCAAAGAGGGGAAAGCCTGAAGGGGACTGCGAGATGACACTGAAATCAAGCAACATGAGGAAACTGTGAATGACCCCAGGGGTTGGGTGACCAAATGTGTCTGTCTGTGCCAGTGAGAGGGAGGTAGATGGAATGCATAAGGGCTTCGAGTTGAAGGAAAGACTCCACCTCTTGGTCACGCAGGGTGCATCTAAAAGGACCAAGAGCGACTGTGGTTGGATTGGGGAAAGTGGTCAAGGACCGAAGCTTCTCTATCAGAGGCAAGCAGGAAGAGGTCGGGAAAAGAGTCCCTCAAGGGAGTGTCGCCAACCCAAATGTCAGACCAAAAAAGTGTTCGAATGTCGGTTCTAGGGAGGATTCTTGTGTGAGTTTTGAAGAGATCGTAGCAGCGAAGAATGGAGCCCTAGAAGCCAGAGGAAAGGCTATTGGCCTAGTATGGGGGCAGCCATCTAGATGGGCCAATGCTGTATTTACTGTGTAGAACCTCCAGCCAAAGGTGGCCCACTAGAGTGAAAAGACGCTACCACCATTTGGAAAGGATTGCAGTAATGGAATCTCTTATACTCCGGATGCCCAAACCACCTGACCGTTTCAGCCTGCACACCTTGTCCCAAGCCACTAGATGATATTTGTTGGCTATGCCATCCCTTGACCAAAGGAAATTCCTCCTGTTCTAGTTAGGCTGCAATCAGCAGGGATGTGAAATAGGGACATTTGATAAATGGGGACATTTGATAGAGTTGCCTTATTGAGCATTACTCTCCCAGCTAAAGAGAGATAATAGCCCTTCCAACCTGCAAATTTGCGACCGACCTTGTCCATAATATGTCCCCATAGGTTTTTTTGGGTTTCCCTAAACATAGGGGTAGGCCGAGATATGAAGTGGGCAAACAATCTACCCCGCAGCCCCAAGAATGTACAAAATGGGCAGTGTGTTGGGCATCGATGGCTACCCCCATCATTCTGATTTTGTTCAAGTTCATTTTGAACCCCATGACTAACTGAAAGGCTTTGACGAATACGAGAAGAGCCTGGACTTGTTGCTCAGAAGTGTCATGGATCTAGAGAAAGCTTATGATAGAGTATCTCGAGATTTGATTTGGTGGTATTGGAAAATAAAGGAGTCTCCAGACATTACATCAACTTGGTGAGAGATATATACGAGGTAGCGATAACTAGTGTGCGAACAACGAGTGGAGAGATGAGTGAGTTTTCAGTGACAATGGTCTACATCAGGGGTCAACATTGAGCTCATACCTCTTTGTTTTAGTTATAGATGACTTAACTAGGCACCTACAAGATGAGGTGCTATGATGTTGTTCGCAGACGACAATTTTGATCAATGAGACCCGAAACAAAATCAATACAAAGTTAAACTTTTGGAGGGATTCTCAAGAGTCTAAAGGTTTTAAAATTAGCCGGAGAAAGACAGAGTATATGGAATACAAGTTTACTAATAATAGGAGTAGATATGAGAAAGTAGTTAAGATTGACAACCAAGAAATACCAAAAAGAGTGCACTTTCGATATCTTGGGTTAATAATCCAGAAAAATAAAGAGATTGAGGAAGATGTGGCATATAGAATTAGAGTTGGGTGGACGAAGTGGAGATGTGCAACAAGAGTTTTATTTGATCGTCATATACCAATGAAGCTAAGGGCAAGTTCTAGAGGACAGCTGTGAGGCCAACTTTGCTTTATGGGGTGAAAAGTAGGGCAGTCAAGAAATAACATACCCATAGAATGAGTGTAGCTGACATGAGGATGTTGAGATGGACGAGTCGCAAGACAAAAGGGGATAGAACTCAAAATGAATACATTCACGAGAATTTAGGTGTGGCACTAATAGGTGATAAGATGAGAGAAGTAGACTTTATGCGTGCTGGCCATGTGCAGTGCACACTCAGTACAACACCTTCTAGGAGGTGCGAGTTAGTTCAAGTCGAAGGCTCAAAAAGGGTAACAGGTAGGCTCAAAAGGACATGGTTGGAAGTAAAAAGAAAAAATATGAGGACTTATCGTCTCATTGAGGGTCTGGCCCTTGCTAGAGCAAAATGGCGCACCAGGATTCGTGTAGCCGACCCCAATTAGTTGGGAGAAACTCTGATGATGATGATAATATACACTTTTTACTTATTTATCATATTGATAAGGGAACAAATAATAAATGTTGCAATGCACTTCAAAGTGAATTTGAAGCATATATCTTATTTATAAGATGCCATTAGAGATCAAGTGAGCTTTAGTAGATAAAATCAGTGTTCGCAAAATCGAACCAGAACGGTTAACCCGACATGGGCCCGGAAGCGGTTTAACCGGCCTAACCGGTAAACCTGCCGATTCAACCATTCTAACCGGGCATGTCTCGGGCGGTCAAAAAAGTGTTGGAAAAATAAAAAAAATCTACTAAAATATGAAAAACATATAAAGAATGATTAAAACAAAACACATTCAAATGAAGTTGAAAACTAATGAAAAACTAGATTTTAATGAATCGATTTTTGAATTAAGTGAGTATTAATGACAAAAACAATTTTTAATCTTTACCATAATGTAAAGAATATAAAAAATGCATTACAAACCAAATTCCTTATTTTGGGAATTTATATACAATTTTTGAATTTTTTTTTGTTTTTAAAAATACCGGTTGATCACCAAAACCACCCAAAACCGGAACCAACCACTGGCCGGTTCCAATCTAACCGGGCGGTTAGATCGCCCGGTTTTTCTAACAATGGATAAAATAGATTGCCATAAAATGTTCTATTCAGCCAGTATTAAGTCATCAGCAATACAAGGAAAAGCCAACACTAAAATCTTGATTTCTAAAACAATAAGTATCATATACAAAACAAAATGGCAAATGATTTCTTCAATTTATACTTACATCAGGTGTCTTTCCTGAGTACCCCAAGATGTCCATGCCAAGGAATCGAGAGAACAGCAGTACTAAAGATATCAGACTTTCAAATGGTGCAGTAAAAAGGAGGTGTTAATTTATCCCCCTTGAAAGCATGTAAAATTCAAGTTCTAGCCCACAAATGCCTGATCCAGTCATAATAAACACACCTCCTTTCACCCTTCTAAACCCTGGAATGGGTTGTGCAGCTTCAACTAGCTTGGAAAAAACTTCATCAAAAATCTTCTGCGTCTTAGCACCAGATACAACAACTTTCATCTGAACACAAGACAACCCAGAACATAACATTAGTAAATTAGTGTAGCTATAAGGTAAGAAAGATAAGGATCCACCTGATTTTATGTGGACTAGTGTTCTAAACTCAGCGTCAGGTCGGGACTCACTGGGGTCCTAAGCTCGAGTCAAGGTGAGTCAGCTCCGCTAAGTCTATGTCTAAAAAGGCCTAGAAATGGATGGACTTGTGCAAATCTCGTGAAAAGTCTTGCTGGGTTCCTAAGGCGAGTCCTGAGCCCACCCTTCAAGATTTTAAAAACTTTATGTAGATGCAACAAATCAAATCATATTATAGAAATCTAATAAAGAAACAAGAAATGATATTTTTTTTTTTTGCACAAAATTGTGTTGCATTGGAATGTGGAAGAGATGCAAATAACTAATTCCTCTAATCATGGAAGATTTGTCAAGGTATCCTAGGCCTTCGCAAATATAATGGTTTTTTTCTTAGTCTCTTCATCTTTCGGTGCAGGGACGAGAATGGCTTCGATGGAATTCAAGAGCAACAGCATTATATGATAAACCAATCCCATGGAGCATGAAGGAGAAACAAAGATGACAAGAATCCAGTGGAAAATTTGGAAAGAGAGAAAGGACCAGATCCAGGGTAGAAAAAAGACATGCAAAACTCAGTGGCAATGAAATGCAACAATGTAATCCCATGATGACCAACAGATAGATGATAGATGGGACAACAATAAGGAAATCCAAAAGCTCTTGAAGATAGTCATCCATGCTTTTCTGTTGCAGGCCAAAGCAAAGTGCCAAAAAAAGAATAAGACTCCATGAATTCTTTCACAGTTCATCCAGGTTGAAAATCCCTCTAGGGTTGAAAAGCAAGCCCTTTTGGTGACACGAGAATGCAGCAAAATTTTCAGTGAACCTTAATTCATAAAAGGTTGAAACTTAAAAGTAAATTATGGAAACAAGAAAATTTAAGAGAAAAAAATAATAATATTGTGGAAGTCTGTGGCCCTCAAAGGAAGAGCTTTCAGAAGCCATAGTATAGTGAGGTTGGGGTGCTATATGTATTCGTACCCTTGATTGAATTGCCAAGAATCCCAACACCATTATCTAATGAGGGTGAGGGGTCTACAAACTCTTGGATATGATATATGCCTACAACATTCCACTTAAGTCATTATCATAAAACAAATATATAAAGGAAAATCATAAAGATAAACACTAAAAAAGGAAATGTTTAGCTCAAAGATTCACTTCAAATAATCAGATGAAGGATTTGCTTCCAGTAATGAGATGACTTACAAAAGATTTCCAGGTTCTATAGAAATGCAGAAGCACTGAGATGCATTACCAATCAAAAGAAGAAAGGAACTATCCTCTTTTCTTCAATTTAAATACAATAGGCATTAAAACTTGGTAACTAAGTTGTTTTGATTCGAATGGGTCACTCCACCTACGGTAAAAGCGCTCATCTCCTATAAGCTCCATACCCCTTGGCCAATGGCTGGCAGAGCCATGTAGAAGGCAACTGTAGCGGCAACCCTGTGAACCATTTGGGTGGAAAGAAACAACCGTATTTTCTGAGGTTCAAAACTACAGCCTTCTTCTCTCCTGAGCAAGGTAATCTCCATGGCGACCTTTTGGGCCTCAAACCACAAGACCTTCTCGGGGATACTAAGGACCCAGTTCCTACCCCAATGGAAGAATATTCTACTCCACTGTCCGAGACAGCCACAAAGATCCAACTTTTGGCAACCACCCTCAGTAGGAACCATCAAACTAAATTTTGATGGCTGCTCCTTAGGGAACCCTGGACCGGAGGGGGCTGGGGGGGTTTTAGAGACCACCTTGGCAATGTTCTTCTTTCTTTCTCAGAGCACCTTGGCATCATGGAAGCACATATAGCTGAATCCCTGGCCCTCCTTCAAGGCCTGAAAGAGCTTAATCGCTCTTGGGGATTACACCTCATCATTGAAGGAGATTCCAAGAATGTTCTCTCATGGGATAGTAGGGTTTCTTCTCGGCCATGGTACCTAACCACTACATTCGATGAAATTGATCACCTTTGCAAGGATATGGACATCTTATGGTGGCATACTTGGAGGACGTCCAATGTCTACGTGGATCGCTTGGCGAAAGAGGATGCTAATAGGCAATTACAAGACCAAGCCGGGGTCGTCTCCTTTTTTGAACAAGACCTCTGGCTCAGCTCGCTTCCTTAGCACATCACCTGGCCTCTCTCGGCCTCCTCATTTATTGTATTTTTAGAAAGCTTCATGTAAAACAATACATTGGGCGGTCTTATAAGCCTTTTTGTATATGATACACTAACTGTATTTTTCCAGTCCACCCCGTAGGTGGTGAACTTGGCCTCCTCTCTATTGTACATTACTTAAACCAGTAATACAAAGTTAACCTTTCTCAAAAAAAAAAAAAGTTGTTTTGATTTATTATTTACAAAATAAATAAATCCTGGTAGAGATCAAGTTCAAAATCCAACTTACTAGAACAGTACCTAGGACAAAACACCTCTAAGTCTGATATTTCAAACCAAGCAGTTTATCTCAAGTACTAGCATTTTCCACAAATATTAACTGAGTTGATTATTACCTTTATCTCTCTAGCTTTAGAGACATTAGCAACAACTGCGAAGTTTTCAGAAGCACTAGTAGATATGTCAACATTTTCCACACCTGTAGATGACAAAAAACTAGTAGAAGCATCAAAGGGAAGAACAATGAAATGGATTAATCAAATTATGTTGGGAAATTGACATGCTTTGTACCTGGGGTTATAGCATTCACCACAGCTGGAAACTTTTTATTCAATTTTCTTAAGACAGGAATCCTGAAATGAAGTTATGCACATCGCATTTTCAATCTTCTTCCATTAAAATTGTATGAGTTGTCAACTCATTCTTGCAATAACCTTTTCTTTTCCCCTCTCTTGATAAGGAAACAAATTGTCATGACCTAGTAACTCACAATCTAACTCGAGCTTCATGAAAAAAATGAGAGGAGTTTTATATTTGACATGTAGAAAACTCAAGCAGAGAAAAGAATTAGGCATCTATATACTATGAGTGGACACCCATTTGCGTGCTTGCAAGCATACAGTGTGCATAGAAGTTTAGTAATTAGTTGAAAGAACGGAAAGGTTCAAGAGGGTCCTCAAACCACATATTGACAGAGGGAGAGACTCAAACGACCTAATCTCGTGCATAAGGAGTCACAAACTATAAGAAACCAACGCCATGAAAAGACCCCCATATTTGTCAAATATCAAGGGGTTACAGATCCTATCACAAAGGTTTTACACATCATATCAAGCTATCTCCTTTCTAAGGTTTACAACAAGGTCTTCAACATTTCTCAAGACCTTTAGAACATCTCTTACATTAAAGTGAGTCTAAGGCTTACCACAAGGTCTTCAACATTTCTCAAGAGCTTTCAGTGTTTCAAAATGCGGACCGCCCAGCGCCTAGGCGGTCCAGGGGGCTTGGGCGCATCGCCCACGCCTAGGCGCCAAAAATAGGCAAAAAACCATGGGCACCCAGGAACCGGCCTAGGCGCCCACTTGAACCCACTTGAGTGGCCGCCCTGGGCCTGCACCCCACCTAGGGGCGGAAATGCAGCTCCTTGAGGGTATTTTAGGTCATTTTTTTAATACTAAAGGGGAAAAATTGTGGGTTTTAGGTTCATTTGAAACCTAAAACCCATTAGAAGCTATTTTAGAGAGAGAAAAAGAAAAAAGTTCTACTAGGCCGCCTAGGTTCTGGGCACCCGCCTAGGCGCTGGGCGGTCCGGACCCGCCCGACGGCTTAGGTACCGCCTAGCGCTTTTTGAAATACTGGGAGCTTTAGAACATCTCTTACATTAAAAGTGAATTTCCAATAATTTCCTCATTCTAAGCCACCTTTCCATATTAAGCAAGTCCCCATGTCAAACAACATATATACATATGTACATATTCAGACAAGATTCACATAATTGGAGCTTTCCTCCTCTTCTTAATATTTGCTTGATTGATTAAACTTTAGTTGTATACAGTTCTCAGATTTGAAATTCTCTTCTCTTCTCGCTAATTTTGGAGTCAAATAACTATGGTTAGCCAAGTTGCCCAAGTTTGGCCACCAATCTTAGTAGGGCTACATTCTAACTCCCTAAAGTTTTAACAACTAGTCTCCTTCCCTAAGCAATATTACCCTATGGTTCCTGGAGTTAAGGTTTTCATTATCTCACCGACTATTCCTGATAAATTTGAAAGCAAATTTGCCAAACATTTCATCAAAAAGTTATTTCAGAGATAATTGTAGATTGCGGTCCATGACATGACATGATAAATGCGATGCTGATTAAATTTGAACCATCAATCCAACCAACTAGATATTCGCCAGGCAAAGCAATATCATATAAGGAAAACTACAATTCTTCCATTACATAAACTAAACTCAAAATAATTGTGCCCAGAAACATAAGCAAAATTAAATCTCAAAACCATTGCAGTCAGAGGCATAATGTTGATACAATCTAAAAATCAAATAGAAAAAAACAGAATTTAACTTCCATTATTCAATAGCACAAATGATATTGTAAGGAAAGGAAAAACAATCAGAGCCGGAGACAAGTGAGATCTTGAACATATCGATTATCACCTAATAGGAAACTCCTGATGCCCGTAATCCATATGACAAGAAAATCTGGATTTGGAGAGCGTTGCATTTCTAGGACAAAAAGACAATGCTGGCCTTTGACAATGCGGAACCATATTTCGAAGTGCCATCTGCATCAAATTACAAAAAAAATTCTTCTGATTTAGGGAAATACAAAATAACAATGCCAAAAACCAGTAACCACGAATGTGGAACCATATTGTTATCAAAATAGAAGCCAGCATATCACACTTCTCTAGCAGCAAACTTTTTTAAGAAATATAGAACCTTCTATCTACTAATTATTACCTGATGCAAACATATCCTTGCCCATACTTTCTCTTGTTTGCTCATCAATTATTTAAGTTTATTAATCAAGGGAAAAGAAATCTGATTATTAGCAGGCATTTTTATTTTTCGAACATCCCCAAATAATTTTCATTACAGAACTAGAACTAACCCCAGAAATAACCCATTGTTCGGTTCCAAATATCATTTTGTAGAACAAAGGATGAGTTTTCAAGCATAAAAATGTCACAGGCACATCAAATTTTGCAATTGAATTAGAAAAAACAGAAAACTACTAAAATTATATATAATGACCTATCCTGTTTTGCAATGTTTTTCTAATTTTCCTAGGACCTCGGACCATGGACTTGGCCCTGGCCCGAGGCGAGTAACTTAGCTGAGTCCAAGTGGACTCAGCTGAGTCGTGTATAGGCCCAAAAGGACCCAAAAAATAAAATAAAATAAAAATTGTAAAACTGAAACAAAACCAAATGTAACATAAAAAGTCCAAAAGAGCTAAAAATTTATATATAAAACATGAATTTAGAAAAAATTGATCCATGGTTGGAAGTATTTTAGAAAATTCTAAAAAAGAGGAAAATATAAAAATAGGCCATATGACAAGAAAAACTCAGAAATCATTGTAAAAGACAAAAACCAAAAAAAGAAAATCCAAATTACATACATAATTTTGCTACATTGATTGTTATATTTTTTATATATTTTATGATTTTTTAATGTTTTTAGGTGACCCGAGTTGGACCCGAGTACTCGGCTCAGCAAGGAGCCGAGTCCTAGTGGACTTGGTCAAGTCTTGAAACATTGCTGTCTTGGTTTAAACTGATGAATGTGGTAACCGAAAACATCAATCACACAGTTCACTCACCTCCCACTACAAATTTCAAAACTTGGGAAATTACCGTCCTCAGGTCTCGAACAGGCTGATGTATGTATTACGCTCAAGAAATATTCCAAGTGTCAGCTAAATATTTGGACAAATAAAACTACGATTTGGTCGAGAAAGAAATTTGGAAGAGTTAAAATTTCTGAACAAAAATTTCCACTGAAAATTGAAGGAATTATTCGAATATGTTCATAAAAGTAAATAACAAACATCTTCTAATCACTTCTAAATCAAGAACCCATACTACATATGATAGAAGAAATGGAGATTAAGTCTGTCTTCTATTAACAAATTGTAGTTTACTCATTGGAGCTTTCAATGGTACAATGCATATTCTTAGTGAAATAAATCAAAAATTGAAGACTAGGATGAAGAATAAACCAAGGAAAAGATACAGTTAATGGCTATTAGCAAAAACTTACAGGAAATCACTCAGTAATTTCCTTTTAGCAATTCCTAGATAAATTCAATGTAAATGCAGAACAAACCAAATAAAAAAGATAATCTAAGAACTATGAAGCTAGCAAAATCACGGAAAAAACTTGAACATATTGAAATGTCTCAAACTGTACCATAGAGCAGGAACTACAAATGGGGTTAAGTGTTATCTCCATGAACCAGAAAATCAAAAACCTCCAAAAACCTCTCTCTCTCTCTACCAGAAAATCAAAAACCTCTCTCTCTCTCTCTCTCTCTCTCTCTCTCTCTCTCGTCGTACGTACGTACGTACGT